CCCCCCCCCCCCCCCCCTACTTTTAGGATGGTGTTAAGGAGACTGGTGTATCACTAGCATTCACAGTTCGTGCATTGGATGCTGGACCCGTCATTGCTTTTGAAAAATTTGAAGTTGATGAGCAGATTAAGGTATGCTTGTTATGAGTTTACAGGTTAAGCAACGTGACATGCATGTGTGTTTTGATTTTTGATTCCTATAAAGCATAAATGGTTGAAATCTGAAAATCCATCACATGGTTCGTTTATAAATTTGTTTTTCATTTTCTTGCCGATCCTTTTGAGTAGAGACGTTTTTATGAAGTCGGCTATTTGTCTCATGTCTTGTCTTACACAGTTAAACTTCTTTTACATTTAACTTTTTGAAGATGGACCATTTCTTTTCTAATCTTTGATTCAATTTGCTAGCAGGCACCCGATTTACTTGCATTGCTATTTTTAGAAGGTGGGCATTCAGCGTCTGTCATGAACTTCACTTGAAATTGTGGTGCTGTCTCCTAGTCTGTTTCTTTTATTCTCTAGCATATTGGTACTTCTTAGTTTCATTGCAAAGAGTGGTGTTGATTTCAAGTACTCTTACATTTGATTATATAAATAAAATCACAACACCAAAAGTTCATCTTTGAGTTGTTGATCTAAATACTTACGTACGTTTTGTTACGGTTTATAATACTTAAACATTCAAAATCCACTTTCATGTGCAGGCTCAAAACTTTTGATTCGGGAACTTCCTTCTATACTTGATGGATCTGCTGAAAAGAAGGCACAACCTCAAGACGAATCTAAAGCTACCAAGGCTCCAAAGGTATCCTTGGTTGAGATCTTCTAGGATAAATTTATAATCATATAGAAACGAAGTGAATTTTGGTTTATATATGCTTAGTCCGTTACTCATTTGATCTTCCAATATATTAGTAACAAAAATTTCGTATTCATTCTTTTCTGATTAGTTAAAAATGATTTAGATCAACCTTAAAGCAAAACGAAAACTAGAATTCCATGAACTATTAGTATCAATTTTTTAGTTTTATTTAAAATAACAATCATAATATCAGCAATCTTGTATATCAAGAAAACCTTCTGATAATGATGCATTGTAGATTCAAGTTCTCTGGAATCTGACTCTAGTTATGCAGATAGCTCCAGATGAGGCATGGCTGTCATTTGATCAAGAGGCATATGTTCTACACAACAAGGTAATTTTACCCTTTTCTTTGTTCAACCTTGCAGTTAAATCATGCACTCCCTTTAGGTTCGCGCATTTGCAGGATGGCCTGGAACACGAGCGAAGGTTGTCGTTGCTGATGAGAAAAGCGGTTGCCACAATATCCTAGAATTTAAAATCATTACTACAAGGGTTGGCATTCAGGAGACTCAAGCAGATGAGATCTGCTTTGTCAAGGATGCTTTGCTGTTTCCATGTGGAGGGCGCACGGCACTTGAGGTTTGTTCCTTATTGTAGCCTATTTCTATTATGCTTATATGGATGTGTATGATCAAGGGCTGGGTATTTTTTCTTAGTTCAGTTGCATTTTTCTTTGAATAGAGCTTTTCGTTAAGATGTTAGAAGGTCGCAAAGTTTCATATGAAATTCATAAAAACTCACATCAAACCTCATAAACCTCCCAGAATACAAGTTTTGTAGCCACCCACAGTTCCTTAATTACAAAAGAGCTCCCTCTTATGACCCTATGAATCAATTAGAGCCTTAGTATAGTTTTACGTCGGTTGGGGAGGAGAACGAAACATTCTTTATAAGGGTGTGGAAACCTCTCCCTTAACAGACACATTTTAAAAATCTTGAGGGAAAGCTCGAAAGGGAAAGCCCAAAGAAAACAATATTTGCTAGCAGTGGACTTAGGCCGTTACAAATGGTATCAGAAGGGGGTGGATTGGAAGTCCTATATTGATTGGAGAAGGGAACGATGCTGGGTCCTGAAGGGAGTTCTACATCAGTAAGTTGTCTCCAACAATAACGGAAATAAAAAAACAAGCTTAACACATTATCAAGAACACATCCACACAATCCACCCACTCCTTAGTAGCACCCCTCAAAATCTTAGCATTTGTTTCCAACCATAAATTGCATAAGATTGCTTTTATGACATTTCTACACAATTTCTTTGCCCTTTCTTCAAGAAGAGTTCCACGTAGCACATTTCTTTCACATAATGGTTACTTAGATTTTTCACTTTGTTGATACTGTTATATCTTCACTTGTTCTTTAAAATATACATCATATTTTTACCTGTACTGAAGATAAGTTATTACTATTTTGCACCAACATTTTTACTGTAGTGATTTGGTAATTTCACCAGGTACTGGAAGTTCAATTACCTGGAAAAAAGGTTGTGAGTGCAGGCGCCTTCTGGAATGGTATGCAAGGGAAAAGGTTGAAGAAATTTGATGAAACTAAACATTTTTCGCACGTGTCCGTGTGATATTTAGATGTAATCTAGCTGAAAAAAAGTTGACGATCGTAAACAAATTTTGCACGTGTTGTGATATTATTTATATGTAGTCGAGGCGAAGAAATTTGTTGAATGCCAAAGCATAATCAATTCTATCAAGAGATCCATATCGAAATTTTAAGAATCAATTAGAAATTAAGTTCAAATTTTAAATACTAAATAAAAACTAAATTTAAATCCCAAAAATAAAAAGATTAGTCTTCTTAATTTCTAAATTTTTTTAATTTTAATTTTAATTTTTTTAATTTTTTTAATTTTTTTAATTTAGGACTTAAGTGGGTGTCAACTTTTAATCATGGTATTAGAATATATACCAGAAATTAGATAAGACATATCAGAATTTTTAGGCATGAAAGAAGCCATAACTTGGAATTTTTAGGTATAAAAGAAGCCATAACTTGGAATTTTTAGGTATAAAAGAAGCCATAACTTTAAACCTACCTTTATGAAAGTGGTAATAGCAAATAGAAAAAGAAACTCTTACAAACTAGATTGTTACCCTACTCGACCACTTGCCTATTTCTACTTATGGACAACTATTACACTGTTTCACTCAATCTATATTCGTTTTGCCCATTTCTACCTATGGATAATTACTATACTGCTTCACTTAACCTATGCTCGTCGTGCCTATTTTTACCTACGGTCAACTACTAGACCGCCTCACTCAATCTATGCTCGTCTTCCCTATTATTATCTATAGACAGCTACTAGACCGCTTCACTCAATCTATGCTCTTGTTTCACAATTATTTAAAGCAAAAAATAAATAAAATAAATAAAAAATCTCATTAAACAAACATATAATAATTTAAAAACAAATTAGCGAAAATATTACTCTTTTTTTTTTTTTTTTTTTACTTATCATTAAATTAAATTAAGCTTATTTAAAAGGATGGCACCTCTCTTCTACATGAGCTAAGCCTCTCAAGTCTCTTTGGTTTTTCTTTGGAAAGGGAAAAAAAAATGGGAGCTCTTGATTATCTCTCCAACTTTTGCATTCTCACACCAACAAGAACCAAGCACAAACCAATGCAGGTAGCTCTTGATTTTTGGGTCTATTTAATTTGAATTTGTTCGTGTTTTTCGTTTATATTATATGCGTTTTTAGACGGTCGAAATCAAAGTGAAGCTGGATTGTGACGGATGTGAAAGAAGAGTTCGAAACGCTGTCTCTTCTATGAAAGGTCTTGTTCTTTCTCTCGTTCGTCGTTTTATCAAATAATGACGTTTCTCAATTTTACATGTAAGCTATTGTTATATTATCATTTATCGAGTTTGAAAACCCGACCCGAGTATTTATCGATGTATAGGCGTGAAGACGGTGGAGATGATGAGAAAGCAACACAGGGTGAGGGTTAGTGGGTATGTTGATGCCCAAAAAGTGCTTAAGAGAGTAAAAAGCACTGGAAAAAGAGCCGAGTTTTGGCCTTATATTCCTCAACATCTTGTTCATTACCCTTACGCCTTAGGTGCTTATGACAAGAAAGCTCCTGCTGGGTTTGTTAGGAATGTTGTGCAAGCTTTTCCATCTGCTCATGAACAAAACTATGCCTCTATTTTTAGTGATGACAATGTTCATGCTTGTTCTATCATGTAGCTCTTTTTGTCGAACGTGTTCGATCGGACATGACGAGTTTGAACGTATAAAGCGTTGAATTTGTTCGAGTTCGTCAATTGAGTTGTGGCATGTTGTCGTTGCTATTGCTGGTGATGTAACTCTTTGTTCTCTTTCGTGTTGGTACACTACAGAAATAATGAATACAGTAGCTTATAAAAAATGTTATTATAGACTTTTTATAGCGTTTTTCGTACGTCGTGGCAGTCCACAACTATAATAGATGCTATAATACGTATTCTGTTAAGAGATCGATCGAAGTACAAGTTACGATCCAAAGTTAGATGAATATTTGAACATTATGCTTTAAAAGCTTGAATTTGTGATATTATATATTTGTTGTTATTTTATATTTTTTAAACATTTCTTAATTTAAAAAAAACATGGTAAATAACGGTAAAAAATAGTACGAACGAAATCGTTATAGCCTAGATTTTCCTTCAAATACTAGTCAATAAAGACATCTTTAAAGAACCCACAATAACTAAAGTTCAATAACAAGCAACTCAAAAATATCGTTTGAATTAGAATACGAAATTGGTCGAGCGTCGATCCCTTTGATGTTTCTCATCCCGTTACATAATTTTGTTTTAAGAAGAGTTTTTCTTATCAAGAAGACAAATTACCTGTCTAGCCCTTAACTAAATTGATAGTCTTGAATATCCACGACATCATGAGCCATCGATACCATCGGGCCTCTTGCCTTCTGTGCTGCAGCTATAGTGACCGGAACATGTCGAAAACCACTTGACATGCCGTTTTCTTGAGCAAGATAACATTCTAATAGCGTCGGGTTACTGAATTCGCTATCACATATTGGAAGCGTATACTCATTTTGGAAGGTATAAGAGGGATCTATTGCATCTTCCAAGTAGTTGCCTTTGTTTTTTCTTAGGGTTTGTTCTTCATCATCTTCATCTTGCTTGGAAGTTGATGCCCAAAGTTGAGCTTGCTTGCCTAATTTGGCAAGCTTCTTTATCAAAATGCTTGAATCCACATTGCCTATGATTGTCACCTTTTGTTCTTCAGCATCTATATCTACCTTATATACTCCTAAATTTCATAACCCGACAAGCGATTATTTCTACGTATGTTGACCCGAACACTTACAAGCATACAAAATATTTCAGTTTTTGAAATACGAGGGGCAAAATGGTCATTTCATTTTACGAAAAATAAAAATAATAAAAAAGGAAGCCATTGTTGTTTACCTTCAATCCTTTTGAGAAGTTTTCGTACTCTCTCCATGCATCCTTGACAATTCATGTGTACTTTAAGAACATGTATCTGTTAAAACAAAGTCGATAACCAAAAAGTCAATGAAATAATTCGAGCATTATCGATCCAGTAATCTGTGAAGAGAATCGATCATAACATTAGCCTCTCGTTTTAAATATTAACTGAAGCAGAATATGACGGTTTTAGTATCATCGACAAAGTCAAGTTAATACATATATTTTTAACGAAAACATCGAGAGGTTCAAATCTACCAACCCCAGATGATTTTTAACGTAAAAAAAGTTTGAGGACTATGATAAGAAGGAAAAAAACCTCGATCTTCGAGAAACGGAATTGGTTCTTTGACATTTTCTTGCTCTCTAAGCTTGTGAGCTGCAAAGAAATGGGAGTTTTTTTTGGTGAAGAAGAAGGGGAAGAATGACGTTAAGAGAGTCAAAGAGAGGAATATGGTCAATATCATTTAAAGGGTGTGTGAAAATATGACCTTTTTGAGTGATTCCTTCAGTTTTTTTACACCAATTTCTCATGAGTTCTTTTGGCAGTCATATCCGGTTGGTTAACCATCCATTGGTTGAAATTTCCTTATCTCGAGTTCGTCTCGTTGTTCGTAGTATTTTTTAACAAAGAATCGTGGTCAATCGAGAATCGCCGAATGTGGGGTTTTGAGCGATTGAACATTCGTCTTTAAAGTTCATTTTAGATTACGTGAGGTAGGGTGTAATTTGATCTGTTGTGTTGTACTTAGAGCACGTTTATGAGTGATTTTGAAATGATTATGATCATTTTTTTTCATATTTAAATTATTTTAAGTTAGTTGAGTTAGTAACCCGAGCAACTGAAATAGAGTTTACAACCCAACCTTTTATTTTTGAGTTGGCTATAGGGTTTTTTTTTTTTAATTATTTAAAAAAAATTATACTTATCTACAATTCATTTAGATTAATAACTAAAATCTCATAAAATTTAATAAATATCAAACATTTACGAGTAACAGTCATCACTGACCTCAATTACAAATATTAAATATTTTTTATTTTATTGAAAGGAGAGTAAGTTGAGTCAGGTTGTAATCTTATTTTAGAGTTGATCAAGTTCACTCAGACCAAAAATATGTCAACTACAAACTTATCAAAATTTAGTGCAACTTATTGTTAGTTTGAAGTAGTCAGATATTCACAATAGTTAATATTTGAAGAATATATTAATTATAGAATATATCTTGAATATGTGTAATAAGTTAATATTTTCATGGATTAGTAGTATATTTTATTTTATTCTCAACATCAATGTTTAGTTAGTTTATATTTTCTTTATTTGTGGATATTAGTTGGTAGTTTGTATCCTATTTAAACGTCGTGAATATTGAAGATTAACCTTCAATCTCAATTCTATTTCTCATTTTAATTTTACAGGGTTTTGTGAGTAATAATATTTTCATATGTACTTACTTTTTGAGGGACAAATATTAGGTCAAAACTCCAATTTTAATTTTGAAAAAAATTAACCCAATAAAAAAAAACGATCCTACTTCGATGGTTTGAGTTTGTTAAGTTAGTGATCTGAGCAACTTGAATAGAATTCACAGTCTAATTCAACACAAATCTCTGTTTTTCAGGTTGAGTTTTGATGTGGAGTTTTTGTTTTTTAATTACCGAGAAAAATACATATTTATCTAGACGATACATTGATGACTAAAATCTCAGCAAATTAAAAATGGTAACAACTCATTTAAAGTATTTTTAATTTTTATAATAATTTTAAATGTGACAGTAAGGAAAGGATTGAATTATACATTATAATTAATAGTATTTAATATGGTAGTGGAATATTATTTTAAAAGCATTTCCTGGAAGAAAACAAAAACAATGGTAGAATCTCACTTCATCTTTGTCCGTTCAAAACAAAAAAAAAAAAAAAAAAAAAAAAAAAAAAAAAAAAAAAAAAAAAAAAAAAAAAAAAAAAAAAAAAAAAAAAAAAAAAAAAAAAAAAAAAA